AAAAAAAAGAAGGGGGTGAAAGTTTGAGGGGGGGGGGGGGAGAAGCTAGGATGCTGCCCCCACTATGACCACAAAGTATTACATACTCATTAAAGACACTTATAATGCACATATATAGCCAGCGGTCAGACCTTGCTCTGCTCCTCCAGTCTCCCGTACTCCAATAACATGGGGGTGCCGTGTGTCCGGAGGTATTCCCTCTGTGTCCGCTCCTCTGTCTGAGCCTCGTTTGGAAGGAAATTACTTGCCCAGATCTGTAAGACAAATGAAAATGTACAATACAACCGAGTCTTGTTAAACCTGTTTAGCTCCTTTATCTGCTCGTGTCCCTCCAGTTCCTATACAGATGATCCATCAGAAAGATTCAAGCCTGGAAAATCCATTACAGGGTTTGCAAACTTTAATAATGATATTCGCTAAATGCATTCATCCGCCCCTAGTAACTCTTGGGAATATATCTTCATTTCATGTAGGGCTGATAATGATCAGCAAACACCGAGTGATCCTGCCAGTCACCTTGTGTTCCTCCACAGTAAGCATGGAAGTCAGTTGGCGTGACTACTGGACTACACGCATAGCATGCCTGTAGTCCTTGTAGTCATCCGGGTTTACACTCCCCCTGCCTAGCCCTGCCCATATTGATTGACGTTGGCTCCCAACAGGAACCTCAATGTCAAAACCGACAGCCTGTAGTATTGTTGTTTGCACATCCTTTGACTATTTAGGTCAGGGGTAGCCAAACTCCGGCCCTCCAGCTGTGATGACACTACAAATCCCAGGATGCATCTCTCTCCGGGAGTCATACGCTGCCCGCCCTCAGGCATTGCTGCCATGAACCTTGCACACAGTAAAAGCTGGAAAGGAAAGCCCGTGTCACATGACCACAGGATAAAAATAGAAATGATAGGAAGTGCAACCTTTATTTTTAGCACTTTATTGGAAACTCAGGAATTCAAGTTGCCTGATATAAAGCAGTATACATGTTTTACACCCGAGGCATATCATGTCATAACGCAGGAGGTGTTCTGCAGTCCTGCCCTAGCGTGACAACTAGGGATGGGCTCCATGTTCGAGTCGAGCAAGAGTCCGACTCAAACATTGGTAGTTTGTGTGTTCGGCGAACACACGGACTATCAGGGCGTTCGGCGGGTTTTTTTCGACGGTATTGACGAGTTCAGCTATCTGACGAGGATTGTCCGCAGTGAGTATATCTGCTTATACAGGCCAGGCATAGAGGTCTCAGCAAGGGATATATTTTGCTATCACAACAATCGAAGTCAGAATACTAACCACAGGTCACCCTAACACAGGACTGTAGCCGCCATATCTAATGACTGGTGAGCTGCAATACAAAACACGCACATTGAGAGAACCCTGCAGTTAGAAAATCGTCCACCAGGTGTCAGTGTTGCCGCGTACCTGGCAGTGCGGATGGGGGTTGGAGCATCCCATCATTTCCCCTTTGTTTTCGAAGATCTGAAAATTAAAGGTTAAAAATGTTAAAATCTACAAGCAAGACTCCAGCAAAGGCACACGCAGAAATTCAGGCAGAATCTCACCGGCAGAACCTGCAAGAGACATAGAGGAGGCCAAAAGGTGACTCAGATCACCGAATATGAATAAAATAACAATTATGGAAGTTTGACCTCTTTACAGTCGGCCCGCTTGATCCCAATCTCCCAGAACTTTCGATTAGCCAGTTTCTCCCCACATGTCAGTTGCTCGGTCCAATTGCATTGTGATCATGTGACCAAACGACAGCAATGAGTGTCCACTTAGGGAGATTTCCTTTCACTTCCTGCCCCTCAGATGCATCAGGAAGAGAAATATTTGGAAGGGGAAACTTTGCTCTGGGGCCCCGTGATCTGCAGTTACACCCCTTTTCCCCAGTAATTACTAATTATTTATAACACTGTAGCAACTTAGGTTGTTTTTTTTATACCAAAGTGCCATCACTTACCTGAACCCAGGGGTAAGTGGCCCCCAGGTCGCTGTTTATCTCCGCCCACTTGTCGATCACAGCTCGGACTTCCTCGGTGGTCATTAGAGGGAGAGTCATGTCTGACCAGGGGTGGAAACACATCACCTGACTGAGCAGAAATAAAATCTCATCAGTGTCTGCACTTTCCTAGCGGGATCCCCATCCCAAATCTCCTTCCCTGTCACTGCTAAATAATCGCGCATGCACGGTCATCTGATTGACGCCTGCCGGCGACCATCTTGGTGATGGACGCTGGCAGAGAGAGAAGGGGACGTTCACCCGACACTGACTGAGCGCACGACCTATTAGAGGGGGGCGACACCAAAATGACTGTCAGTCATTTTTGGCGTCACCCTGGTGCTCCCACCGTCAGTCTTATTTCAGGGGTGCAGCAGCGGATATAATGTCAGATTTTAGGTAGATATACTATTTGCTTTTACAATGTCAGAGGGACAGTGTGAGGCACCAAAACGTAGATGTAACAACATTACCAAACACCACGGGCAGATTTTGCTTGCAGTAAGGGGTGATTGCCGGGACCTGGAGAAGAAACAAAACTCTAATAGCCCATT